CCTTGATCAACGAGGACAGCAAAATGAGTTTTTTTGACAGTTTGACAGGGAATCCTATGAAGATCCATCCTGAGATAAAGTAATAGGTAATATGGCCTTACATTTGGAAGAAATTGAATGTGGCAAAACCAAATTTATTCCTTGTCACTCATACGCAATTCGGATTTGTTAGATTCACCAGATGCATCTCAGATGCTTTCGCCTTCGGCTTGTGAGCCTTTGTGGGTTTGCACCAGTTGAGAGAACAACCGCCCGGGGTCCCACGTGCTTCGGACTGGCAGCTGAAACTCCAGCTAGCAAGAGTCCCCTCAGATGAAACACCAACTCCCCAAAGAAAATAAATGATCCAATCCTAAACAAGGTTATCAATTTGAATATGGATATTGAATATAGGAATGCATTTTGTAGTGGCCGTTTCCACCTGTACAGGAGGATCTTTACTTGATCCCCACCAACAACACACTGGTCCTGGTTCGGCCTGAGGAGCAGAAGGCTGGGGATGGTTTTTTTTCACCAATGTTTTTTTTCCCTAAAATCTGTTCGGAACTTGGGAACTTTTTTTTGGCGGGGGTTACAGGCCAGTTGGTGGACTGGTTAAGTTATAAGTTATAAGTCATGACTGGTAAGCCAATGAAGGCCAAGGTTGCCACTCAGTATGCTGATGTCTGCCACCCAAAACCAATTTCCAGCCCTGAAATGTCCAGAGTTCTCACTGATTGACAGAGGTCTAACTTTCACATCTTTCACCAAGAAGTAAATGATGTTAGTTGCATATCAAATCAGTTGTCCTCCACATCAATGGTGCCAAGTCTGGACATGGGTCCTCTTGAATGCGGGATACCCCACTTATCCCCAACTTGGGATCGCTGGGTTTTCTAAAGAGGTTTTTACACCATTTTGAGTAAAACCCATATGTATGTTTTTCAATCTTCATTTTGTGGAGATGGTCCATAGCTAGCAGCTCTATCTTAAAAGTACCAGGCTGCATCCCATGCCATCAGCTGCTGGTTCCCAATATTATTGAATATGGTACATCATTTTCCCGATATATGGTTTGTAGTATCCAGTATATATATATATGATATTATAGGTATAATATTTATAATATATATATATACTATTTATATTATTACTATTGTTTATATGTTATATATATATATTATGTGAGAATATGGCATATAAAAGTCATCTGTTTCCATCGAAAAGGGGTCTAAATCATCCTCCGGCGGAGCTAGGCCTTCTATGGCGAGGTGGTCATCTCGGAACCGCTGCGGCTCATCAAGCTGAAAGAAGGTGCTCTGTTGTGCTCTTATCACCAGAAACCACCAGAAACCACCAGAAACCACCAGAAACCACTGGCGAAAATCCAGGGAGATTTTTTCCGAGATTCAGTTTGGCTGACTGGCAAGAAAAGCATAGAAAAGCACCTCTTCGCTCACTTTTGTCATTTTGCCTTGGTGTCTTGGTGACTTACTGTAGATCCTTTTTCCAGATTCAATGACAAAGAACAGGGGATGGGGGTTGTCTTACCCACTTCCGAGAAGTTTGCAGATCGTTTCCATTTGGGCATTTGCAGATGGCGCATGCATTTGAGACCAAGCCTATCAATTCCTATGATTTCTCCCATATCATGACCACTGGACATGCGCAGGTGATGAAAATTCGGCGCCCGGTCCAGAGAATGAGGAACATTATTTGCGGATCGAGGCTGGGTAAAGGGCTATCTTTTTGGCATCGCTTCAGGAATTTGTTCTCCTCCGCGGTTCAGGTTGGCACAGGTGGTACCGCAGGTTTCTTTGATTTTTCCTTTTGTACTTTCTTTTTGATTCGCACTTTTTGAAACCATGCCATGCCATGCCCCTTAGAGATGGTTACTCTGACACGCACATTCTCGGGGGGAAGGTCTTCTCACCCAACTCGCAGTTCCTGAAAGGCTCGATGCGAGGTTGCGATGGAAGGATCCTTGAATAGGTGATTGCAACCACTGCAGCACTAGGTCTATTTCTGTCTATTTGTCGACCTCTGTCCCTAGAGAAGTGTAGGAGAAACTTCAGAGTTGGTTATTTAAGGTAATTGAAGATCATAGCAGAGCAGTGCACGGTCAACAAAAGAACCGACCCACATGGTGGGTTATCACATAATTCATCAATCATTTGGTGGGTTTTTCTCCAGTGATACGTGAATTCAGTATGACCAGGTCTGTGGAGCCATAGCGCCGTTCTGACCAGGCCTGCCGCCCCGAACGTCCGGCTATCCGCCTGGCTGGCCTGTTTGAAGCGGTGAACAAAACCGTCTGGGCCTATAGGGCACTTCTGGATTTGACCAGACCACAATCCAAAAACTATCCCAACATGAAGAGTTCTCATCGCTTTTTTTCGCAATAAGAACACCGCACATTTCTGAATTCATGGAAACTAATGAAGAAAAAAGTGCGGGTTTTCTGAGATTTTGGCTTTTTCTTTACTCCTTGCTGCCAGGAGCTATCAAGGAAATGACTTTGAGGCCAGCTGGTTTCACGGCCACCCCATGCGGCAGACTTTAACCGAAAGTCATCCTGCAGCCATGGCCAAGGTCGGAAGGGCCTGGGGGGCAAACTGGTTGCCTTCTGAGAGGGAATTTCTGCATGTCCAAGAATGGAGCATAATACTGAAATGGGTCGGATCTCTATACTTGCATCGGGTATCCCTAATTTTCGGAGACACCCACATTGTTGCTCATCCAAGATGATTCCCGAGACGTTACCCAATTGTGGATGCATTGTCAAGTTCGATGCAAAAACCGGATTCCGGATTCCTATCACCCGATTCTTAAATTTGCTTGCTCTCGGATCGTTTGTGGGGACCCCCCAAAAATGAGCTCATGGGAAGGGACGGCGGGAAAGGGGTCCTGTTCTAGGGGGTGAAAATTCCAATTGGCCGGTACACAAACGCATGAATGAATAGATAGGTAGATGAACGGATGGATAGATAGAGATAGATAAGTTGAAATTGTAATGATATTCAAACTCTCTAAGCTCATAGCTTTTTCACCATAATTCATGCGAACCAACGGCTTCAGCAAACATCCGCAGGGGCCTGCTGAACTATTGCTGATCTTCTCTGATGCTCCACGTCGAAAGGTGGCCTGGAAAGTGATCCATCAGGCTGGGTGATCAGGCCAAAGTGATGGCTGGGGCCAAAATGGGGAGGTGAAAAATGGAGGTTTATCCAAGCTGGAAGATAGCATATTTGACAGGATGGGTTAATCATGACCAGTGTTTTTCCCGATATTTTTTTGGGAGATCAACATCCACAACCATGTCTATTATTCTATATTATTCCATTTTTTTTTGAGATTTTTCAGGGTTTTGACTCACAGCCATGTTGGTATGGAATGGATCAATGGGGTGTCCAATTTTGAACCGTCGCGACAGTGTTGTATTTAGCCACTTTGTCAGGTGAATTTGCAGCAGTTGGTGCAAATGGGTGTTTCTGAAACCTCGAAACCCAGGAGTTCGTTTCATTTCAGTCATTTCAGCAGGGGTTTACTCCCCCCATTCAGCCCGGTCCTGGCTGGTGAGAGGCCCAGTACAGTGTGTGCAACCGCCTTTTCGACGGCATTTTGAAGTTCTTGACCTCTGTGAAGAATGGAGGAATTGCCTGAAGAATGACCCAAAGGCTGGTACCAGGCCGAGAAAAAACGATGGTTAGAGAGCAGGTTGTGAAGTCAGAGATCCAGCGATTCTTCATGTGGAAGGATTTGATTGAGAAGTTGTGGTTTTAGGTGACATTGAGTGATGAATGGTAATTCCCAAACCATTGGTGGCATGGGTTTTTCAAGGGTCCATGGTTTGGTTTGCCACAGAAATCGAGCAATTTCGGTCTCCAAAGTGGGATCCAGATCCCCCAAAGCAGGTGATGTGTTCAATGTTTCTCGGCCCCAAGCTGTGCTGTTCTGAAAGCATTCTCTGAAGACAAGGACACACACACACACACTCACTCATGTACATACACAATTCAATGAATAATGTAACTGTTATATACGTATCCGTATGTATACGTATATATATATATATACAAATATCTAATCACGTATACATACATACATACATACATACATACATACATACATACATACATACATACATACATACATACATACATACATACATACATACATACATACATACATACATACATACATACATACATACATACATACATACATACATACATACATACATACATACATACATACATACATACATACATACATACATACATACATACATACATACATACATACATACATACATACATACATACATACATACATACATACATACATACATACATACATACATACATACATACATACATACATACATACATACATACATACATACATACATACATACATACATACATACATACATACATACATACATACATACATACATACATTAGATACATTACATACATTGCATACATTACATACGTTACATACATTACATACATTACATACATTACATACATTACATACATTACATACATTACATTACATTACATTCCGTTACATTCCATTCCATTACATTACATTACATTACACTACATTACATTACATTACATTACGTTACATTACATTACGTTACATTACATTACATTCATATATACATATTATACACTACATACTATATATTTAAGCATATGTATATATATATATAGATACACATAGCTCGTCTCAGTCTCAGTGTTTCACTTGCGGGCGTGGAAAACAGCACAGCTGGGACTTCTTCGCTGCCGTCTCCGCCAGTGAAAAAGTGCACGTTCCAGACCTGGAATACAAAGTATCATTTGAGGCTGGCGGTAAAGGCTCTACAAGTTGTTGGACTGGCCAAACGATTTCTACAACTCAAATTGTCAGTTAAAAGTCTACTATGTATTCAATTCTACAAGTAAAACAAAGTAAAACTTAAAACATCAACTGATCCATGCTGCGTCCAGCCATCTCCAGAATCGGAGGAGAAGCAACTCTTGGAGCTGCAGCTGGAAAAAGCTCGTCCGAGACCTGGGTATGGTCGCAGTGGGAGATCATGCTATGCTTCAGAAATTGTCTCTCAACACATCGCTGCAAAAGGGGTATCACATGTTAAATGGTCAGTGTGTATCTAAAATATAGTACACACAGAATAAGCCGATTTCCACCAAAAGCGGGTTCATGCTGACGGATCTGAAACTCAGCCTCTATCTTGAGGCAAACAGTTGGAGTTGCTGACTCGCTACAGTGAGGATTTGGAGGCGCCTTGAAAGCAACTGCGGACCCCGCGGCCACTTTTGCAAGGATCCCATGCCAAAAAGCCAATGGCAGGACGAACGCGATGCGGCCAATGCAAAGTTTAAGGCGGGTTTGGCGTCTTCTGGGTGTCTTTAGGTGGCTTTGGGTGTTTTTCCCCCATGGCGGCTAGCGATAGCTTGGGGTTGTTAACTCTAATTCCCCAATAGCGATAGCTTGGGGTTGTTAACTCTAAAGCCGGATGGGCGCCGTCGGGTTCCCGGCTGCCGGCCTGGGCGGTGTCTCGGTGGTGTCTCGGTGGTGTCTCGGTGGTGTTCTCAGTGGTGTTCTCGGTGGTGTCTCGGTGGTGTCTCGGTGGTGTCTCCGTGGTGTCTCCGTGGTGTCTCGGTGGTCTCGGTTGTCTCTCGGTGGTGTCTTGGTTGTCTTCAGTTGGTGTCTCTAGTTGGTGTCTCGGTGGTGTCTCAGTGGTGTCTCGGTGGTGTCTCTATGTTGTCTCGGTGGTGCCTTGGTGGTGTCTCCGTGGTGTCTCGGTGGTCTCGGTTGTCTCTCGGTGGTGTCTTGGTTGTCTTCAGTTGGTGTCTCTAGTTGGTGTCTCGGTGGTGTCTCAGTGGTGTCTCGGTGGTGTCTCTATGTTGTCTCGGTGGTGCCTTGGTGGTGTCTCCGTGGTGTCTCGGTGGTCTCGGTTGTCTCTCGGTGGTGTCTCGGTTGTCTTCAGTTGGTGTCTCTAGTTGGTGTCTCGGTGGTGTCTCAGTGGTGTCTCAGTGGTGTCTCGGTGGTGTCTCGGTGGTGTCTCGGTGGTGTTCTCAGTGGTGTTCTCGGTGGTGTCTCGGTGGTGTCTCGGTGGTGTCTCCGTGGTGTCTCCGTGGTGTCTCGGTGGTCTCGGTTGTCTCTCGGTGGTGTCTCGGTTGTCTTCAGTTGGTGTCTCTAGTTGGTGTCTCGGTGGTGTCTCAGTGGTGTCTCAGTGGTGTCTCAGTGGTGTCTCGGTGTTGTCTCGGTGGTGCCTTGGTGGTGTCTGAGATGTCTCTTGGTGGTGTGCCGCTGGTGTCTTGGCGATGTCTTGATGGTGTGTCTGTGATGTCTTGGTAGTCTGTCGGTGGCGTCTGAAAGGTGTCTATATTGCGTTGTGCTCTTTTGATGGTGTCTCATTGGTGCCTTCATGGTGTCCAGGTGGTGCCTCGGTGGTGTCTCAGCCGCTTCCATGCTGATACAAGGTGTTCACGGTGTTTTGGTCGTATCTTGGAGGCATCGTGTTGGTGGTGTCGGGGCGGTTGCGTTGGTGGTCCTTGGTTGTGTGTCTGTGGTGTTTCCCTGCGCGTCACCAAAATCTAATCTCGAGTATGTTTTCGTGATTAGTCGCACATGTCGCACCATGCACCAGGTAGTCTTCAGTGGTTGCATGCTGTTGTCATGGTGACCATCATGACCGCTGAAGATGACTGATAATAAGGAGGATGATGGTGGTGATGATGATGATGACGACAACGACGACGACGACGACGGCGACGGCGAGGACGAGGACGAGGACGAGGAGGAGGACGAGGACGAGGACGAGGACGAGGACGAGGACGAGGAGGAGGACGAGGACGAGGACGAGGACGAGGACGAGGACGAGGACGAGGACGAGGACGAGGACGACGATGACGACGAAGACGACGACGACGATGACGAGGACGACGACGACAACGACGACGACGAAGATGATAGTGATAATGATAGTGATAATGATAATGATAATGACAATGGTGGTGATGGTGATGGTGGTGGTGATGATGATGATTTTGATAAAGATGATGATGATGACCATGATGATGATGTTGATGATGATGATGGTGATGATGGTGATGATGGTAATCATTGTGCATATGGTGATGGTGATGGTGATGATGGTGATGATGATGATGATGATGATGATGATGATGATGATGGAGTCGGTGGTTTTGATGATGATGATGATGAGGATGGTGATGGTGATGATATGGTGATGATGATGATGATGATTATGATGATGATCATGATGATGATATTGATGGCGATGACGATGACGACCTTGCGTGTGCAGGTTTGGGTTGAAGCGGGGGCAGGGATGGATGTTGACGTATGCTAGGAAGTAACGCACTTAATTACCTTGATGCCGCGAATACCGCCCACTTGCAGGTTTGAGCTTCAGAAAGTCGCAAAAACAACATCCAATTTACAGACGCAAATTTCAAAATGCTGCGCATGCCATGCGGTTTACCAGTGATAGTTGCAAAATATTGCAAAGACTACGCGATGCATTAAAATTTGCCCCAGTATTCCGCGTTTTTGGTTTTCTAATGCTTAAATGTGCAAGCGTTCTACCGTGTACAATTTTTTTGCTTCAGAGCGCCGTGAAACCACAACACGGTTTTCAGATATGGTTCTAAATCTTGCAAATACCCTGGAATTGCAGATGTCAGCTTCGCACTGCTGCAAAATACTGTCGGATGGCAAAGCTCCGTGCAATGAACTGATGTTGCATCATACCAGGCAGTGTGCAGGTGCCAGGTGCAAAATGCTGCAAATGCTACGCGGCTTAGGATTGTACACAGATGCTTTCACACAGAGGTGCTTCCACAAAGACATGTTTTTACACAGGCATTTGCACATACACATGCGTTTGCCCAGAGATGGTTTTACACAAACACCTTCACGCACAGGTGTTTTACACAGGGGTGCTTTTACAAAAAAAAAAATACACACACACACACGTGCAGGTACTTCTAAACACGGATGCCTTCACACTGCGATGCTGTTGAGGAATGCTTTTACACGCACGTGCTTTTACACAGGGCTTCTTTTGACACAAAGTAGCCTTTACACACAGAAGCTTTTACAGTAAATACTATTATGCAGAGATATTTTTTCACACAGAAATATACATTTGTACAAGAATGTTTTTTAACACACAGGTACTTTACAAAGAGGTATTTTTATTGTATTTTTTAATTTTTGCACTAGGACGCATCTAGGCAGAGGTACTTTTACATGGGTGAGGCTAGAAATTGAAACACGATTTGGGGGAGGTTAGAGATGCTTTTACATACAAGTGCTTCTACACAGGGAGGGCCTTCACACACAGATGGTTTTGCGCAGAGAGATGATTTTACAAAGGGATGTTTCTACTTGCAGGTGCTCTTGTACAGAGACACTTTCAACACAGAGATGCATTTACACACGGGTGCTTTAAGATACAAATACTTCTTACACAGAGATGATTTTGCTAAGAGAAACTTTTAGTTGCAGGGGGGTTTACACACAGTTGCCTTTACACAGAGATGCTTTTTACACAGGTGCTTTGACACGCTAATACGTCTACACAGTGCTTTTATGGACACATTCTTTTACGCAGAGATTACTCTGCACGCATTGCGTGCAAGCACTTTTACACAGAGACATTTTGACACACAATGGCAGGCGCGTTTACATGCAAATACTTTTACACGGCAATGTTTATTTTGCACATGTTTTCTTTTTACGTATATACACGCGTGCTCTGTCACAGGGATGCTTTCAATCACACATGCTTTTGCACAGAGATGTTTTTACACAGAGACGCCTTTATTGCACAGGGATGCTTTCACGCACAGAAATGTTTTTTTACACACATACTTTTACAGAGAGATGATTTTACGTGAGCAATTTTACGCACAGATGCCAAAACAAGCAGAAGTGCTTTTACAAAGGAATGTATTAGCACGAGGAGTTTTTACCTATGGGCATTTTTACACACTACTGAATGATTTCCGACGGTGGACATGCATATGGCACAAAAGAATTCAGCAAACATATGCAAAATCACACTTTCACCACAGCTTTTGACGTTCGAGACGCATATCGTGGGACGGGTTGGCCCAGCGCAAGCCCACATTGCAATTTGACCTCAATGTATGATGATCGACATTTTGCGCAAGAGGGTTGCGTCTCGTGGACATCAATACATGCTGCCCTGGTGCTCTAAGAGAAGTTTTAGAAAAAATCAAGATTGTAGTTGCGTTTAAGAAATTGATCTCCGCTTGTGTCTTTAGATCTGCCCCTTGTCATCTGCGTATATCCACTTCTCGGTGTTTTTAGACAATCATCTCCACCTGCACATATATATATATATATAATTATATATATATATCTATCTATCTTCCGCAATACACCTGCATACAGCACATATATATATATCATATTCATTTGGTAGCTGTGTTGAAGAAGATTCTGTGAACCTGCATCTATGCATCTGGTCCTAAGCACCTGTCAGTAAGATTGATGCCTGCATCTACCCTTGTATTATGTATATAAGTTTCATTTTGTGCATGTACGAAAGAACATCACTTTGTAGATGCATGAAAGTGAAGATGTTGAAGAAGAAGAAGAAGAAGGAAAATAAGAAGAAAACAAAGAAAAATAATGATGATGATGATGATGCTGGTGCTGGTGATGATGATGGTGGTGGTGATGATGATGGTGATGGTGATGATGGTGATGGTGATGATGGTGATGATGGTGATGATGATGATGATGATGATTGTGTTTTGATGATGGTGGATGTTTCTTAACTGGCGGTGTTGTGATGATGGTGATGGGAAAAATGATTATGACAAAACATGCTGGCAGCTTTGTTTTGGGAAAAACCCTTTGCAGGTCATTTCGGGAAATGGTGGCGTGTGTCCTGATGGTGCCTGTCCTTTGGTTGTACCAAGACGGCTCACCTGTCAATACCAAATTGGCGTCAACGGAGATGCGAAACTTTGCTATTGGGGTTGTATATTGGGTTAATTCGGTGTTCGCGCGTGCATCTGGGTATGAGTCTGAATTGGAGAACCAGGGATTTGTCTCATTTTCAGGATTGAACCATGAATTTGTTGGGTGTTCATGTCAAGTTGTCGCTCCTTTTGCATCCAAAAACTTGGGTTGACACATGCCGAGGCCAAGCAGAAGGAGTGGAAGTCGCAGACCAAGGACTGCAAGATATGTGGGTTCAACTAGACCAAAGTGAAAGGTGATCAATCAAAATGATACAGCCACTGGGTCCAGCCAAAATCAGCTTTGGACGCAAGATCAACCATCAGCCGAATCAGCAAACCGAACCTTTTTGCGGATTTCCCCTCAAACGCACCTTGTATGTGGCAATCTATCCAACGGTGCATTCAAAGGAGCTGGGAAAAGTCTGAAAACCTTGCAATGTCTCTTGCACGCCTGTTGAACAGGAGCTGCGACAGTTGCTGATGCGCATGCAAAAGTCGTTGGGTGAAACGCCTGACTCTATGGGGACGGTGGAGGCGATGATTGGAGGGGTGCTGCAGCAACCAACAGAATGGTAGATTTTCGGTGTGAAAAGATCCAGATTTGGGGCTAACTTGAGCAAATCCGAAATAAAACATGGCCAGAAACCAGCCAACTGACAGTCTGATTGGTTTCAGATTCAGGAAGAATGGGATGGACATCCATCGGGCAGGAGTTTGACATCATGGATTGCTTAGACTGGAGCTGACATTGGCCAACATGAATCTGGCTGCTGGTTTCAAACATGTTCAAATTTCCATCCATCTAAAAATGGAGAAACGTGAAGATGATCCCAATCGATTTTGGTATTTTCAAGCGGTTGAAACCATCAAGAAATCATCCCTTTTCATCCATTTTCAGGGGTACTTCGCAAAGGTTCAATCTTTCAATTTTTCAAAGCGGTTGGTTCAACCACATTCAACCACCAGTTCTGTGGAGGCCCAATCCGGGCCACCCAAGTCTCCCCTGATCTTCCAGAACTTTATGGATGCAACTGCCTGGGTGCTTGGTAATGAGGGAATCATCCAAAGATGGCCATCAGGGTTGGTGAATTTGGCTCGATCGTTGGGATGTTTCAGAGCCAATTTGCAGGAAAACATGGTGTTTTTGCCATCAAAGTTTGGATTTTCCTGTAGAGCCGTCAAGCCAGTCTGATGATAAAACCGTCCACCCAAGTTCAAGAATTGGTTAAATGGATTTACAGTTGATTTCCCATTCACTTACATTCATTTACCATGTTTGCCATGACTGGCTATGTGAAGAATCTCCACATCGTCATGTCGCAAATGTGCGTCAGCAAGGTCTTGGAAGACGGTCTCATCCCTGTAAGCAACATGACACTGAAGGCAGCTGGATGGATTTGGTCAGTTTGGCAACCTGAAAATCTTCGGGCCCGGGTCCACAATCCGAAATGTTTGAACAGAGCATCTTGCCAGTCTTGAATGGCAATAGAATGGGAGGTCAATTCCCCATTTTTCAGACATACTAGTACCCACTTGAACTAAGTAAACCTGGTAGGTTAAAGGGCTTATTAGTCGTTCATAAAACCATGACATCTTTGCAGGGCATCCAATCTTGATGGATTCCAGGATTCCTTCCAGACACTGCAGTAGTGTTGTGGAGATCTTGAATCGCTTGGAGCTTTTGGTTCAGCCCCTGTCTCCAGATGTGCTGAACGGTCAAGACAGACTCTGTATACCCATATTGCAGGACGGTCATCAATCCATTAATAGGAGTTCGCAAACCCATTACAATGAATTCCACATGGTGGTTGGATGGGCATAAACCATATATACCATGTTTTCGACCATGGCAGACGTTGCAGTGTCCATTTTTGATCCCCAGATGTTGAAAAACGCCAGGATTTGCAGGAAGAATGCGTGGTGTTGGAGTCTCAGACGACAGGTTGTTGGAAGTTGCGGGACACTCCACTGGGATCAAAATATCATGGAGTCATTAGAGGCTTGGGGGATCTTGGGTTTTCGCATCTTTTCACGCACCAGGATGCTTTCCCATAGGACATTTAGATTGGCCGAGCAATCTCGATCTCGGGCCTCAGGCGTGGCTTATCCACAGATGGTGGCCTTGCACAAGTGAGAGGTCGGGTGCGAGTGGCACTTGCCAAAGAGCGCAAGGATGCCAAGTGATGCAACGCTCGCAAGCGACAAGTGACCGAACACTGGGGATTGCGGTAAGCCCTAGCATTTTGATGGGATTTAACGATGATTTAACATGATTTAACCATTTAACATGGGGATAGTGGGAATATGGTGGCTGCCCATGATCTGGTGGTTTCACTGTCCTCGCTGGGATGATGCTCCCCAACTGAGCATGGCTAATCTGGATTTAGTGCATAGGTTGATACAGTTTATTATATTATATTATATTAGTACTAATCAGCAAAAAAAGATGCAGTGTACCTAAGATTAGCTGTGTCCACCTATGCACCTACGTTGTTTTCCCTTCATGACGACTGATTCGAAGAGTTCGGCAGACTGTGACTTGGATGCTGGATTCATGTCAACAGGGACTGCCCGGATGTTTGGCCGGCATTTGCCGTGTTTAATCGTTGTTGATTGCCATCCCTGGCCACCAAAATTGTACTCCATCAAACAGGTTCCAAACATAGCCTTCAAAGGCTTCTGCCTTGTGAATGCAATGGGTGTTTTCTGGTCCAAAGCCTGCGTTCTGGGCGGAGGCTGGGTACAACTGGCCAATTCGCTAAAGAAGTCCTCTCTAACGTGTCGCTTTCGCGGTATTGTGTCTTGTCGAGTAACCGTCGCCATGTCTGACCCACTTCCGACACTTCTTCGAGCTAGCTCAGTGAGGACCTAAGACTGGGTTGTCCCGAGCGGTTTCTGCAATAGCAAGCTTATATTTGCGCTGTTTGCACCTGCTTTGCAAGAAGATATGGGGGTGTTTTGCTTCAAGAGAGTGCGCGCACAGATTTTGGCCACGCATCAGCCAGACAAAATTTGGGTGATTTTGGCGACTTTTCTCTCATTTAAGTCACCAGATGCTGTAAATTGCCCTTGAAATCCTTCAAATCCCCACCAACTTCGTGGTTCGTGGCTCAAGAAGCAGCAGCTTGTTGCACTTAGCTTTCAAGTTGCCGACATTCTCAACCTTGACAATGAAGGCAGGCTTCGGCAAGTCTTTGACACCCGGAGGCTAAACACTGCTCCGCCTTTGGAGTATGTACTTGGTTTGAAACTGAATCGGATGACGCTGCCTGGGGAATGGATTCGGGTTTGTCCATAAATCGGTCAAGCAAGTTCATGGCCAATGTTAATGGGTGTGAGCAAAGCATGGAATTTCGTGCAAGGCCAGCCTCTTCCTCTTGCTGGCACAGGTTGGAATGGACGGCAGCTACAACCTTGCTGAAACATGATGGGCAGTACTGGGCTTGTTGCCCAAAAGAATAGACAAGAGCCAAAACCAGTCATTTATCATGGTGACAAACGTACCAGTCACCGACTCAAAACCATTCAGTGACCCAGTTTTTTGGTTTGTGATTTCACCAATCCGATAGTCCCAGAATTGGATCATCATTTTCTTGTTGGGAGGTCACCGAAACGGAGGGGGTTATCCCATGACATGCCATTGTCACCCACAATCTCCACATGCACGTTTAAAAATAATGTTCGAAACATATCATGAAGATACGACAATATATTTGAATATATTTGTTATGTACTGTATACTGTATATATAATCATATATATATATATATATTATAATCATATATATATATATACACATAATTATATATACACATAATAATATATATATATACATATCTGCATGGTATACCATGGTAGCTATATGACCCTCTGGATCACTCCGGTTTTTTCAAACCAGCAGTCCACTGGCCATGGAAAACCCACCGTTTTGGATCTCCCAGCAGGCCACAGGCCTCACCTTCCACACGGAGGATGCCACGCGGCCGACCACCAAGGCAAAGCTGGAACCAATCACTTTGAAATGGGAGCATCATGGGGATATTCATTGTGGGTATATATATATGGTATACAGAGTTTTATTATATATGAATATACATTATATTTAATATGATATATATATATATATATTCATATATATATATATATGTACACTCATTTGAATGGGGAGATGACCAAGATTTTCTTGCGGTTCTGTGCAGACATGGAGGAGGGTTACACCCAATTGATGGTCATTTCACATTGGAGACATATGATGATTCACCGGTGGAGACGGAAAGTTTGCCCTTTGCAAGCAGCAAACAATTAGATAAAATTCAGCAAAATGTAGTATGCACCAAAAGTGCAATTTCAATTAGGAAATTATGGTAGCACCATGAGATTTTCGGGTTCCAAAATTTGAGCCCAGTAGCAGAGCCTAGAATCTACATAAGAAAATTGAATAGAACTGTTTCATGTTTTTTCTCAACTGTTGTATCATATTTTATCTCGCCCAAATCTGCCAGAACTGACCCATCGAGGTGGTGAAGCTACTGCAAGGAATGCAGGAGCAGTTGGAATCCGAGGCAAGGGATGCAGGATGGCAGGGGATTGTCACCAGAAATGGGGGAATTTTATCAACATGAAATCGGCAGTTAAATGACATTTGGACCAAGAGAAATTGGGACTTTCAACGGCAGAAACATTACTTTAACCAACAGAACAAGGACTGACCAACCCCAGGTGGATATTTCAGCCAACAAACAGGTGGATATTTCACGAAGGAAAATAGGGATACACACAACAAACATTTGGTACCTAACTATGGGATAGAAGGGATGATATAGACTGACTATCATTCCGGTGATGGCGGGTGTAATTATGAGCAATGAGCCATTGAGGATATGACCTGCTTCGGGGAGATAGCCACCTACTGCTGGGAATCTACAACGCCAACAATAAATAAGGGAGACAAAAACAATAAAACAGGTAGGCAAGCAGCTACTGCCAAGGGTGAATGAGGTGTTGTTGCACATTCTTGCCACCTCCTCTGAATCACCTCAGCAACTGACCCAAATGGCACTGTTTGAAACGTGTTGATACCCCAACTCCCCACGGATTATCATCATTTTTCCACTATATTTTCAAAAAAAGGCAACCGAAAAGATGTGGTGATTCAACCTTTGACATTGAGAGGCCAAAGCGGATGAAGAGACTTATGAAGCTTGGCCTGAAGAATGGGCACGGAGGGTGACTTGCAGGTGCTTTGTTATTCAATGTTGACGATTGCCACTTGGGATGCATTCCTGCGAACCTTTAGCGGATGGTTTAATAAGACACCAAGTACAAAGAAAGATCAACCTTGTAGGTCCACAAAGAACCAAAAATAGGCCCATAGCCCATAGCCATATTATCCTAAGCCCTTCCAGCCGCCGTTGGGTCTCAGGACAAGTTCAAGTGCTGGTGCCATGACAACACCGTGGCCAAGGAAAAGGCTGCTGGAGTCTGAGCCAAGGGAACAGCTTGGTCATGAAAGGGGTATAAAATGGCTTAAAGTGGTATACATCCGCTGGTTAGTCATGTTGAGCATCAATTTCAGGTTGCCGTTTTGAGGGGAAAAATCCATCCAGCATGTAGCTCTACGGGCCACAAATGATTGCCAATCCCACAACACTTGTGTATGTCTGCGTGAGTGTCTTGTCCCGTGCTTTGCATTGTCCAAAAAGAACATTGAACCATGAAGAAGATGAAGAAGAAGATGAAGATGAAGAAGAAGATGAGGAACATGAGTATCATCAAGACTATGCTAGGACGATATCAATAACATTGCCGATCACCCTGCGGTACACTAACATAGCTGTGGAGATCCATGTTTTCCCTGGGAAATGATCTACAAATGGCGCTTCTTCCATGGAAACGTTCCATTACCAGAGGGTAAAATCCCACAAATTCTATATTTGATGCTTAAATCAACTTACAATCCCGTGAATTACAACATTTTCATACATTTTCCCCATATTTTGCCGCAACCTCCATAGTCACTGGTCTCGTTGGATCCGTTCCGTGAATACGCTTGGCGCGGAAAATCGTGGAGTCGTCGCCAAGGTGAAGGAAGCGAAGTTGGCCACCACAGAGTTGCAGGACACGACATCCAAAGATATTCCCCAGATTTGGTATTAATGGATAGAATGGATAGTAATATTTGATAATGATTATAGGATGGCAATAATCTTTGGTATCAATTATTTGTCCAGATTAATTATCCAATAATGTTAATGATAGGGTAAAATAAGACTGTATATGATAATGATACTAACTTAATAACAATAGTAATAATAACAGTAAACATCCCAAAGATGATGATGATAGCAATAGTAATCCCACCGGTAATTCCTCATTAGCATCTGTTAATAGTGATACTAAAACATCTTCGATGATTATCATCACTATTAACATCCCAATGATTATGATAATACTGGTAATATTAATCGCAATAAACAATGATGATACTGAAGTAGTGATATTAGTGGTGATACTGTTAAGCGGAATATAATGTAGCACTTGGGATACTACAAGGCTAGAGTAAAGGAATGTAAACTTGTTCATAATGATGCAATGATACAATGACGACGATGATGACGACGACGATGATGACGATGATGACGATGATGATGATGATGATGATGATGATAGAGTTGTTCCAAAAATGCTGGATTTCCACAGGCCAATTTAGTCTGGTCCGGATTTTTCGGGGAAGGTCGCCAGAATTTTGCAGGATCGAGTGGAGATTCTCCTGTCCAAGAGCCAGCGATTGAAGGTTAGATCGCCCTCGGAGCACACGTGGTGTCACTTATTGGCCATTGTTGGGCTGTGGGGTTTGATTGGTCTTTAGTGAGGAACTTGGGGTGCAGTTGAACTTCGTAAGCTGGTGAATTTACCAAAGCTATAGGACCATAGGGCTTATATCGCAACTTATAGTGATTATTATCATTAATTTTAAGCTCAGCTGGACCAAAAAGAGCTTGCAGAGGTTGTCCTAATATGTTTTAATTGCGCCCGGAACCAACTAATCGAGCCTCCAGCGTCTCAAATCTTACCAGGTGTCGGTAGGCTTTTGAAAATACCTGGCGATCGGCAGTTTTTGAACTCCAACTGATACCAGTCATGGCCATTCTGGGGTCAGGCCGAAGTGGAGAAGACCGAGGATGAAGTGGCCAAGAATCAGGTGCCATGTGGCCATGGAGGATTTCTAATATGGACTCCATCCGAATAGTTCTCTATTATATCACCCTGTAACATTGCAGAACTATCACACATATATGTATATGTATGTATGTATGTATATATATATATGTATGTATACACACATATACATACATATATGTATATCATCATGTTGTTCTTTTCCATGAAAGCCATTGTAATTGGTTGAGTTTTCATGATTCTCCAGGTGCAACTTTCGAAGTGGCCCAACCCTTCATACGTGAAACAACCTCAAGTGGATTGACGACACAGTTCAATACGATTCTTCGAAAATTTGCTGGTTGGGTACAAAAAGTCACACAGCTTGCAGGTCCTTAGGTCCTTTGCCACATCCACATCCACATCCACATCATCATGATCATCATGGTCATCACGGTCATCATGAATCATCATGAATCATCATGAATCATCATGAATCATCATGAATCATCATGAATCATAATGAATCATAATGAATCATAATGAATCATCATGAATCATCATGAATCATCATGAATCATCATGAATCATCATGAATCATCATGAATCATCATGAATCATCATGAATCATCATGAATCATCATGAATCATCATGAATCATCATGAATCATCATGAATCACCATGAATCATCATGAATCATCATGAATCATCATGAATCATCATGAATCATCATGAATCATCATGAATCATCATGAATCATCATGAATCATCATGAATCATCATGAATCATCATGAATCATCATGAATCATCATGAATCATCATGAATCATCATGAATCATCATCATCATCGTCGTCATCAACGTCACCATCACCATCACCATCACTACAACTACTCGCATTGCCGGCGTGGTTGGAACCTCACGCAGGCGGCTTTGGACACCGCCACAGCTTTGCGGGAACAGCAGAACAAGGAGTGCAACTGTTGCAGCAAAAAGTACACTGATCTGAGGCCTTGTGCATAGTGAGTTATTGTTTTGCTCGAACACACTTCAAAACGACCTTGTTCTCAAACACCTGAGATGCTTTGAAACTCCCGAAAACTAAGGAACATCAACATTTTGCTGCGATGATCTTTGAAAGGGTGTTCCTGTTTCGCTTTGACACATCCATATCAATCTGAAACCAACTAGCTAAATATATTTGGTCCCAAACTAACTATGCCACAAAATGATGCTATCCACTATAGCACACTATAGATGAATTTCCCATGAAAACCTCCATTTATAAGGGACTTCCCAGCTCACCATGCTTGATGCAGGGCAGCTGTTTCTTTGCCACCCATTTTTGGGCCAGGAATATGTGGACGACTTGGAGCGTCTGGATGCCAACCTGCAGGGCGTCAACACGGCGCAGACGGCGCTCAGCCCTGCCGTCGGGACACTTGGGGCAACAGGGGGCATTGGGAGCACCTTGGAGAACCTTCCCAGTGGATCAATAGAGGATTCCTCCATGAAAACCAACCAATGGTAGATGACAATGAAATAGAAAATCGAACTGTTGAACTGGCCCCTCTATTTCGCTCTTGAGCGGACTATTTATTTGACCAACAAAAAGGGGGTATGAGACTGGGATACGCTTTGTTTTTTTTTACATAATTAAATGGTATGATGGGAGAATTGGGGATTTGACGAACCAAACGACACGTTGGTGGTTTCAAATATGTTCCATCGTAGTGTTGATGAACCCCTTTGGCGAGTATATTCTTTTTGTTTCACTCAAAAACGCTCCAACCAGCAATTGTGGGGTACACAACCAACCACCATGGAATGGAACGGGATGTAACGGGATATCATGGGATATAATGGCACACCAAACTTGACATGGAACCTACTAGTTGGGTTCAACTTTAAACTGTAGGTGGTGTAGATGCCAAGTAATTTGCAAATTTCACGTATATGTAGTCAATAAACACGCCCTATATAATGACCAGAAATGTGCGGGATTAAAACTGCAAAAACACTCCCAAAAATGTGACCTTTATCAATGGGTCTGCATATCACATTGTATAGACTTACATGTATCATGCCAGTCTTCAAGTAGACCAATGGGCATCCCTTGAGAAGTCAACCCACTCTATCTTTTCGCCTAGCAATAAATTTCATCGATGTGGCAAGCGCCAGTTTGCTCACTCTTCGACCTGGCAAGTGCTGAGAGGAATTGGGGATCGGTCAAGACCTATAGCATATTTGGGGGATGAACATCCATTGATGTTCACCAAGGTACCAGGGTTTTGGCACGTCCTCAGTGACAGTTTTACTTTCGACTGAGGAAGGCACAGCCTTCTTGCAGAGCAGGGAGGGAGTCTGGATCTGAGTTTCTGCTATGCTACAGCCCATCACAGGCATGATTTATCTATCTCAAGGAATTTGGAAAGGCTAATGGCAAACTTGGATGATTATTATAAACATATATAACTTCACATACGTGTATATACAACTACCTATCTATAAATGTATATATATATATACATACATACATACATACATACATACATACATACATACATACATGTATCTTTGCATATACATACATACATACATGCATGCATGCATGCCCATCCATCCATCCATCCACCCATCCATCCATCCATCCATCCACCCATCCATCCATCCATCCATCCACCCATCCATCCATCCATCCATCCATCCACCCATCCATCCATCCATCCATCCATCGTAGTACGTCCGTCCGTCCATGCATGCATGCATGCATACATACATGCATGCATGCATACATACATGCATGCATACATACATACATGCATGCATACATACATACATGCAATACATACATGCAATACATACATATACATACATATACATACATATACATACATATACATACATATACATACATATACATACATACATACATACATACATACAAACATACATACATACAAACAAACATACATACATACATACATACATACATACATACATACATACATACATACATACATACATACATACATACATACATACATATGTCAATGTAAATGTCAATGTCAATATATACATATGTATATATATATATATATATATATGCGGATGTATATTAATATCAATAGAAATCGTTTTGTTCTCAGAAAATGGCCAGTCTGAGGCCGCCAAGCCGCTGCAGACCATCCTGGCCAAGCATTCGCAGAAGATGTCCGCCGAGGACAAGGACACCTTTGAGGCGTCGGAGATCTGGGGATTCCAAGGGATTCGACGAAAATAGCCTTGGAGAGTTGGAGTTCACTGAAGTGCAAAGGTGGATGACTTTTTTTGACTTTTTGACTTTTTTTTTGAAAGATCTGTTATCAGACCATTTGTGGATCCGTTTGGTTGTAAAACAGCTGGTCTGTCCGGTTCAGTTTTTTTTTGAGATCCCAGTTGGATCGGGGCGTCCACGGTGAAAATGACGATGGTCCGGTTGGATCCGTGAAGGCCTTCTTGCAGCGCGGTGACGGAGTGGATGGCGTCATGGGTGTTTTGACCGGCTTGAAGGCAGGGCGGCAGGGCGGCAGGGTGCGTCCGCTTGTGATTTCAGGTTGGTTTCTCAGGTTCAGTTGGTGTATTTAAGCTTGACAAGGCCAATTTTGCTCAGGCACCAATTTTTACTTTACAAGTTTGTCAGGTTTTAATTTGTCAAGTGGAACTTTGGGCAAATTTCATCGCACTTTGAATTTTGGGAAATGACACATAGCATCGCATAGCTGTAAAGATGGATAGCATATGAGGTTGACAGACCAACGCATCACCATTAGATGACCTGAGTTTTTTGCGGCTGCGACCGCTGCGATCAAACCTGAAGAGCCATTTCAAGATCCAGAGAGGTCACTTAAAAAATAAATGACTTTTGATGCACTTGTCCCACGCGGCATCCCCAGTACCCCTTTCATACTTCAAGAAATATACTAAATTCAGAGTAGCTTAGCTGCTAAGCTCAATTCAGAGTTTTGCCATGTCAACAACAGACCCTATCTGACCCTTGAGTCTAGAGCGCCTATGCCTGAAGGAAACGCAAGCTGCATGCCCCAATTTTGGGAACAACACAAATTGCAAAACAGTCGTCAAACATCGGTTTCAGAGAAAATTGATAGGACATGATAGGACATCATCTGTACCATATATATATATATGTATATATATATATGTATATATATATATGTATATGTATATGTATATGTATATGGATATGCATATGCATATGCATATGTATATGTATATGTATATGTATATGTATATGTATATGTATATGTATATGTATATAGTACACACACACAATTTGACATTTTTATATGTATATTAATCTATATATGTATAATTATATATGTATATATATATATAGATAGAGATAGATAGGAGTTTCCTCCAGATATTCCGTTGCCCAGGACGACTTCTCTGCCGAGATCACCAAGGTCAAGGAGGATGAAGCTACGTCGGTCAAGCAGTTTGAGGCGCTGTTGTGAGATATCCCCCTGGTTGCTGGTAGTTGCTGGTGAAACTCCAGCTTCTGGTGATATGTCCACCATTTTTTGGGCTCTATCCTGATTGTTTGATGCCGAACAAGAAACTGTCCATATCAGAATGATATACATATAATATAGTTTTATATATAGTTTTTATAGTTCTATCCATTTTTTTACCAGTTAGATTCATGTTTGATGATGATACATGCTCAGATACTTCTTTTAAAGGGCCTTCGCCGAGGCCCTGGCCGCCGCGAAGACTGAGGAGATCAAAGCTGGAACCAAGCAGATCGAAACGAAGAAGGAAGAGAAGGCGACATTTCTAGCGAGAAGAGAGGGAAAATCTGCAGGAAACCCATGGAAACCCACGGAAACCCATGGAAATCCATGGAAACCCGATAAATGCGTGCTGTGAATTTTGATGAAACCGGTTCACAACTACGAATGTAGCGGGTATTTATATAATAAATGTCCGGAAAAGCTACATATTTGTTGCCATTTTTGCCTTAAAGTCCTTAAAGCAATGAAATGACCTAGTCTTTTGAATCTTTCGATTGCCGTGATGGACCACATTTCTCACCCAACATCCGTATTTCCTAATTCCTGGTCAATCACATCAAATCACTCTTTTTGTTGAACCATATTTGATGTCTTGAAGAATGATGTGATTTAAACCTGGTTAAAACACCATAGGATGTCTTAGTTTTTCAAGTGTGTGTGTAGTCTTTGAATTCTAGAAAACCTGCAGGCACCACAGCTAGTCTCCCCGTTGAAACATTTGCCAGGCCAATGCTGATGAGGAGCGTGCCATCAAGAAGCAGGAGATCAAAGACACCCAGGCGGAAAGTCTGCTGAGTGGGGACAACAAGAAACATGTGCTGGGAATATATATATATAATTATATAATATGTAATATTATATATAATATAATATATATGATATATATATATGATATATAATATATACTATATAATGTATGATATATAATATATAATATATAATATATAATATATTATATATAATATATAATTTTTAATATATAATATATAATATATATGATATGATATACGATGTATGATATATGATATATGATATATAATATCTAATGTATGATATATGATATATAATATATAATATATAATATATAATATAGAATATAGAATATATAATGTGTAATGTATAATATATAATATATAACATATAACATATAATATGTCACATATCATATACAATATATAATGTATACTATATAATATGTAACATATAATATTTAATATTTAACACATAATATACAATACAATATAATATAACAGAATATAATATAATAGAATATAATGTAATATTTATCATATGATATGATATGATATGATATAACATAATATATCATACAATAATATATGATATTATTCAATATAATACACTATAATGTAATATAATACAATATAATACAAAATAATGCAATATAATATATATAATATAATATAATACAATACAATACAATATGATGTAATATAATACAATATAATGCAATATAATATATATAATGTAATATAATACAATACAATACAATATAATGTAATATAATACAATATAATGCAATATAATATATATAATGTAATATAATACAATACAATACAATATAATGTAATATAATACAATATAATGCAATATAATATATATATAATGTAATATAATACAATACAATACAATGTAATGTAATATAATCTAATACAATATATTATAATATAACATTATATATATATGTACATACATGCACATATCAACACACCAGCAAATATGGTGGGCTTAAGTCCTTGTACTGGGAATTATGAGAACGAACATTGGTTGACAGTAGGATTCTCCCAAGAAAATGTTGGATCTAATCATATACTATAGATGTGGGATTTTTGATGTAGATAGATATGATTGGATAATCCCAATATGTCATATTTTCATCAAAGAATGGTGAGAATCTCCGAATTTTCTCCCAGCGATCAAGCCACGGGACATCAAGTCTTAAATGATTTCCTTGGTGAAAATAGCGGTTTTCCCTGGTTCCATTTGATTACCCGAGGGTACATCTATCTTATCTTATCTTATCTTATCTTACCTTACCTGACCTGACCTTACCTTACCTTACCTTACCATCTATCTATCTAATCTACTAATCTACTAATCTACTAATCTACTAACCTACTAATCTACTAATCTACTAATCTACTAATCTACTGATCTACTAATCTGCTAATCTACTAATCTACTAATCTACTAATCTACTAATCTACTAATCTACTAATCTACTAATCTACTAATCTACTAATCTACTAATCTACTAATCTACTAATCTATCTATCTATCTGTCTGTCTGTCTGTCTGTCTGTATCTGTCTATTTGTCTATCTGTCTATCTGTCTATCTGTCTCTCTGTCTCTCTGTCTCTCTGTCTCTCTGTCTATCTATTTCTATCTATTTCTATCTATTTCTATCTATTTCTATCTATTTCTATCTATTTCTATCTATTTCTATCTATTTCTATCTATTTCTATCTATTTCTATCTATTTCTATCTATTTCTATCTATTTCTATCTATTTCTATCTATTTCTATCTATTTCTATCTATTTCTATCTATTTCTATCTATTTCTATCTATTTCTATCTATTTCTATCTATTTCTACCGATTTCTATCGATCTCTACCGATTTCTATCTATCTCTATCTATTTCTATCTATTTCTACCTATTTCTACCTATTTCTATCTATTTCTATCTATTTCTATCTATTTCTATCTATTTCTATCTATTTCTATCTATTTCTATCTATTTCTATCTATTTCTATCTATCTATCTTATCTATCTATCTATCTATATCTATCTATCTATCTATCTATCTATCTATCTATATCTATCTATATCTATCTATCTATTATCTATCTATTTCTATCTATTTCTATCTATTTCTATCTATCTATCTATCTATCTATGTCTATCTATTTCTATCTATTTCTATCTATCTATATTTCTATCTCTATATTATCTATATCTATTTCTATCTATTTCTATCTATATCTATCTATATCTATCTATATCTATCTATATCTATCTATATATCTATCTATCTCTATCTATATCTATATCTATATCTATATCTATCTATATCTATATCTATATCTATATCTATATCTATATCTATATCTATATCTATATCTATATCTATCTATCTATCTCTCTCTCTCTCTTTCTCTTTATATATACACGTATGTATGTAATTACCCTACCTGATATTATATATGTCAATCTTTAATTATTCTCAAATGGTCATTTTTCAACCGCCTGCGTTGGACAAGCGCACAGGGAGCACTCGGCACGGATCTGTCGTCCGGAGACCCGAAAACGGACAACACCCTGGGGATGAATCATCTGGGCTTCATCTGGGGTGTCACCGACAGGTTCATTGGGGTTGAATCCCCTAGATGGGAACATTTGATATGGTCGCAACGAGCAAAGCGACGGATTCATTTGGTGTCCTTGAGGTCAAAATCTAATCCTTGGTTATTTCGTATCCAAAGTTGGACCAACAAACCTCTACCGCCCGTGACATTGCCCAAGCTCGCGCTGAAACCAGCGGCATCTTGCGGCTCAAGTCCTGCGAAGCCATGGTTCACCTTGAGGAGGTTGGGGGAGTCCAAGGGCCACTGAAATTCAACCAGCCCCCAAGGGCCTAAGGGCCTAAGGGGTTCCCCAGACCGGTAGAAATCATGTTTTTTTTCCATATGAAAGACAGGGGTATGTGCAAATCCAACCATCTATTCGGGGGATTTGACTCAAATGGGGATACGGGTCGAAATCATTGAACCTCCAAGTTATGGACGGTTTCATCAAAAACATGTATTGTTCAATACTAAGAATGCTCTTGGTTGGGTTCATTCATGGGTTTGTTTAAACATGGGTTTGCCCTCGATGCTAACAGAATATCAGCATGGTTTTCTACATTCATGCTTCGATTTTGGGGTATACCTAATTTTTGCCGCAGATGCATCTGGGTACACCTTGGTTGGGTTGGCGTTCGGGCGAGTGACAGCTCTTGAATGAGATATAGTGCCCAGCTGATTTTTGATTGTCAGCTTTGCTTGGGTCAAAATTATCAGCGGTCCTCAAAGTCATGGGTAGTTTCAGATCCAATGATCGGCCTTTTATGGGTGATTCATGCAGAATTCCTGACAGGGAAGGCCCCACTCCGGCCGCGGCGAATTGAAGCTGGAGAAGACTCAATCCGACCGGCTGGAGCGATGGGGGATTGGGGGATGACGCCGTTGTGTGACCCTCTGTTGATTTGGCTATGGATCAATACCTATACATACCATTTTTAGTGGGATGAACATCCATTTACCAGCTATTTTGATGTGAACTACAGGGGTACCAGGGTTTTGACACACTGCCATTTGACTGGTGATTGGAATTTTGAAGCTGTGGGCCATGAAGATCACCCAGGGCTCCGCACATCAAGCCAGGAGGTGCCCGAAAGGCTTTACTGTGAACCCTATGGCAGGGCGCCATAGATGGGACATGGTGAGTCAACATGGCAGGGGATGATGCTTTTTGAAGCCCATCCCAAGATGCGGTAGACAGCAATCATGACTCTGGACCTGGGGTTTGTTGAGGAGGACTAGACCTCATCATCATCCCGCCATCAGCAGCAGCATCAGAATCACCATCATCACCATCTGAATCACAACAAGGCAGGAGATCACAGTGTGATTTTTTCAGTTTATGTCCTGAGGCGTTCCACACAAGCGACTCGACGGTGTGATTTTTCCAGCTTGGATGAACACCGACAGCTTGTTTGATTTGTCAGCACCCCAGTGGCTGTTGGAGCCAGTTTTGGGTCGTGCCGATGAATTTGCTTGGTGTGATTTTTTTCGAACATCGATGGACAACTGCAGAAAAAGTGACAGTGATCAATCAAGACTGGACTAAACCTGGCCACCTACTGCCCATTGCACTTCCTCGGATGCACACCTGGTGAATCTTACATGACTTTGACATGGGAATCTCTCAAGATGGGAGATGAATTATTCTATTAGCTTTTATTAGCTCATTTCATGGCCCCCCGGCCATTTTTTTTGGGGGTTGTTAAGAAAAGCCTCAATTCGTTTCCACCATAGATCATCCATCTCCGCCAAGGGCCGAGCGGTGGCAAGTGAACGATAAGGATGTCTTGCTGGCTTTATCACCAGGCACGGTGGATCCTGGTCGATGTTGTGGTCCCTTAGGCCCTGGGAAGGCTGGTGAGTGAGTGACTCAAATTGCTTGGAGATAAACTGATTGAAACATCATAAATTAATGTAAATAATATATAGCTCTATGATGTTTATTGATGTTTATTGATGTTTAGTGTAGCATCCGATATTTGATATTTCCATCTCCCCACAAATAAGATGATGCTGATCTCAATCGATTTTCAAATTCTTGGGTGGTTCGGCGTCTGCGGTTTGATTAGTCTGCTACATCCACGGTGATCTCCCAAAGTGATCAAAGAGTAGATGAAATTGTCAAACAGTGGGGCATCTGGGAATACTGTAGACACCTTTTCTATGATCGAATACCAAACTATGATTGACTTGCTGGAAGAAGTATGATTGACCCCAGGGTTTGTACCAAGAAATGCGAATTACATCAAAATAACAATTCAATAGGGACAATTGTTGTCTCCATCGCTTTTTGTTGGTGTGTTTTTGATTTGTCCGAATTTTTCAGGTACCAAACCCATTAATCAACCTAACCAATGTCATTTGCTGGCCCAAACAACATACCAGTTTTGGATCTTCTCATCAATAACCATCAATGATGGGCTTGACCTGACTGTGATTAGAACCAGAGCCACTTAAAAGGGATAACAGACAAAAGTCATTTTTCTATTGATTCTTATCGTATAAATGGTTAATTTTGTACAATAGTGACAATGACCGTCAGCTTGGGTTGATGATCTACCCGTAATATTTTGGATAAGAATCATAGTAAAGAATACTAAGAATACCTAATATGTGGATATATCTGGTCCAAACAAAGGACGACTATCCAATACTTACACAAGGAGGGCTATTTATTTTTGTGTTTTTTTTTGTCGTGGCAGGTTTTGTTTTTTTTTTTGGGTTCCTGGTTCTATGCTTTCCTGTTTCTCTGATTTTCTGCTTTTCGGCTTCTGCTTTTCTGCTTCTCTGCTTACATTGCTTCTCTGCTTTTCCTGTTTCTCTGCTTTTCTGCTTTTGCTTTCCCTGCTTCTCTGCTTTTCCTGCTTCTCTGCTTTTCTGCTTTTTGCTTTTCCTGCTTCTTTGCTTTTCTGCTTCTCTGTTTTCCCTGCTTCTCTGCTTTTGTACTTCTGTGCCTTTCTACTTCTACTATTCTACTTTTTCTTTTCTTCAGTTGTGTGTTTTTGCTGCTCTACTTCCGGCTCCTTTGCTTCTTTGCTTCCTGTCTTTACTGTCTCTTTGTTTTTCATTTTCTTTGCTTTATTCTGTTCTGTTTGTATCCTAAATGAAACCCCATAGAGACCCTAGGTGAAACCCAAAGAAACCCTAAAGAAATCCTGATAAGACACCCTACATGAAGCCCTAAATGAACCCCAAAGAAACCATGAATGAACCCTAAAGAAACCATACATTATATAATCCTAAAATATCCATATATAAATAAAACCCTAAAGAAACTTTAAATGACACCCTAAATGACATCCCAAAGAAACCCTAAACAACACTCTGAAAAAAAAACTAAATGAACCTTAACTGACACCTTAGCTGAAACCCTAAATTGACACCCTAAATGAAACCCTAAATGAAACCTTAAACGAAACCCTAAAGAAACCCTAAATGAAACCCAAATGAAACCCTAGAGAAACCCTAAAAAAACTCTGAATCAAACTCTAAAGAAACCTTAAATGAGACCCTAAATGAAAACCCACACTGAAACCCTAAAGAAACCCTAAAGAAACCCTAAAGAAACCCTAAATAAAACCTTAAAAAAACTCTAAAGACACCCATTTGAACGTTTAGAACTCCTGATAAAAAATCCCGATAAGAGACCCTACATGAAACCGGAAAAAACAACCTAAATGAAACTCTAGAGAAACCCTAACCCTAAAGAAGCCCTAAATGAAACCCTAAGTGAAACCGTAAAGAAACCCTAAATGAAACCCTAAATGAAACCCCAAATGAAACCGTAAATAAAACCCTAAATGAAACCCTAAATGAAACCTTAAATGAAACCCTAAATGAAAGCCTAAAGAACCCTCAAGAGACCCACATGAACGTTTGAAGCACCAAAATGTAGCAAATACCATGCAAATGAGAGGTTGAAATGCCAAAATGTGACAAATACCATGCAAAATGGAAGGCGAACATGGCCAAATGTAGCAAATACCATGCAAAATGCAAAGTGACCATGCCAAAATGTAGCAAATACCATGCAAAATGACAGGTTCTAGTTCCAAACTGTTGCAAATACAAGGCAAATGGTACCGGGAAAGAAAACCAAAAAAAAATCCAAAACCAGAAAAAAAAAACAAAAACTATTCCACACCCCTTAAACTTGGATATGACCCTCTGGCTCGCTCGGCCCAGGGCTTTGCCCCAACATCCAGGTGTGATCCTCGGATGGATGAACGAATGGACATGAAAACACATAGAAGAAGATACCATACCACCATGCATGTGTATACATATGTGAGGATGGAATCTGCCAGAACCCCAATTTCATTGGGCATTTCCAATCGCCGAGGTCTTGGAACCCATCTTTGCCTTGGCTGGAGACCCCATCCAGCTCACGCCAGGCGTCCTTTGCTGGAACATCCGGCACTTATAGTTGATTTTCCCATCAAAACCTCCATTTATATCCATTTATCCTTCATTTCCATAGAATTTTCATGAATTTTCAATTGCCATGTTTGTTTACCGCAGAATACGGGGGAGAATATCATGGCCAGTTGGATGGTAGCTGTCACCATCCTGGGTTTCAGGCGGCCCAGTGGATGGGGCCTGTGTCTTCAAGAGGCGCATGATGGAAATGGCCAATGAGGAGGAGACCCAGTGATGAAACATGGCCCAGTGACTGTCCAAAGATGATATCTTTGCAGATAAATAGATAAAACATGATAAAAACACAGAAACATTTGTATGTATACTGTGTATATACATACTATGTCCGTTGCTTGATACAAGAAGGATTAGACCATACAAAAAGAAACATCGCCCAGAAGGACTATGGGACCATCGCAGGAGATGCAGATTCGTCCTGCCACCAATCGCTGCCTCTTCAGTTTGTTGCCACCATGGCTCGTCCCACAGAGTTTCGGAAAGGTGGCCGTGGGGTCGCCCAGCCACGATGGAGACAGGATCCACCATGATGGCTTTTTTTCCCGAGGGAAAGGCGCATGTCAGATGGGGTCATTGGTGGGGATATCATGGACTCAACAGTAGATAGTGAAATCATGTGAAATCCAATAGAAGAGAATGGAATAGAATAGAATGGGATTCCAGCAACAATTATGGGTATGGTATGGGGTCAAATTTGAGACTTAGTGAACTAGACATTTGGCGTGGCCTGTTCAGGTTTTGAGTACCGAGCTCTTTTCCATTGTCCCATTGTCCCCAGTGCCCAGGTTTTCCTTGCTGACCCTCGGTATTTGATCATGCGACAGAAAAAACTTTGGGACATGTTCAAGAGATGCATCGCAGAGAAGGGAAAAGGCGGGGGCAGCCGAGATTTCGACGGCCATTCTGAGCGAACGCATCTGTGAAATTGCCATGTACCGTAATAGCCAGTGATTAATGCATTAATGGTCTCCAGTAAAAGGATCCCAAATGGTTGGTTACTTTGGTATCAACGGTTTACCAGTTTACCACATTGAATTGAACTTTGGATGTCTTTCTGAGGTGCTAGGACCTAGGAATTGATGTTGGGCAGGCTGTGGTTGTTCCCCAGCGTCCCTTGATGAGTCGGACTTCCTCCGTGCTTACTTGGAACAGGTGCCCGGATCAATGGATGTACTGTACTGGAGGATAGCTCAACTTAAAGCGCGGCTGTAAAGGGGAACAGTTTTTTGATACCACATGATACCACAGAATTTTGGGGTATCCATGGGTATCCAATTTGGAGACCCAAATGCCAAACGGATGGCGATTCAGGTCGATTGTATCAACTGTGGCGCTTGTCGCGTTCAGCCCCCCATTTCCAGCTGACTTGTTCGCTACTGCTTCCAGCAAGGTATTGTTGGTCGACCCCTCTCCATTTTTGTGGGTCACATCTCAATTTTCATGGTCAACTCGGTCAAATCCCAATTTTTTGAGCGTTTTTTGAGTGTTTACGATGGTTTTTTCCCATATCTTCCCATATTTTCCCATCTTTTCCGCGTGTTTTCCGCGCGTTTTCTGAGTCCCAACCCACCAGTGACGTGGCCCGTGCCCGTTGCAGGATTGCAACTTGTCCGGCGAGGAGATGCAGCGCTTGGCGCGCTGGGCCTTGGAGGAGTCCAGGCGCTGTTTGTGAAGCACTTCACTGGCTTCACTGGAGTTACCCTCTGGTAAACTAACAGTTTGCCATGGAAAATCACCATTTTTAATGGGAAAAGTCACTATTTCTATAATCCCACCAATTCCCATCATGATTAATTTCATTTACCCTCTGGTTGTTTAACATAGCTATTGAAAATTGCCATTTATAGTGGATTTACCCATTAAAAATAGTGATTTTCCATAGCTATGTTAAATTACCAGAGGGTAGCCATATGGAAAATCACCATGTTTAATAGGTAAACCATCTATTTCTATGGGCCATCTATACCATGGCTATGTTAAATAACCAGAGGATATGTTCACCATTAATAAGCCGCTTATTAAGCCATTCATGGTGCCAAAAAAATATACTAAGCCAGTGAACATATGCTACTAACATGTTACTTATATGGTACTAATGGCATTAATGGTACTGGCATTAATGGTACTAATATGGTATTAATGGCTTATAATATCTTATAATATTAACTAGCTACTATGGTCATAATTAATACATATTAATACTGGTTTATGGCACTTACTACAATTCACCGGCTTTATTAGCTATAAGTACCATAAACCATAGTGAAGCTTGGTACATGAGCCATATATTAAACAATCAAGGGCTGTAATGTGGGAAAAACAATGCCATAAACCCATTTGAGAATGGTTTTTACATGTTTTTATTGCCACCTATTCATTGTGATTTGGGGGATTGTGCATTCTTGTTTTACCCACATTAATGGTATATGAGCCACAATAGTAGATTAAAAACTGTATGATCTGATCCAATTTTTGATGTATCATGATCCCATTTGATATTAGTCATTTGGGATTATTATTACTCGTACCAATCATGATGATAATGTGGTTACTAACATCAAAGAATCCCGAATTTCTAATGTGGTTAAACAACCATCCCCAACAGTTAATGATTCATTAGTCATAATAAAAACAACAATAATAATGGTGGGGATGATTATTACTGGGTTTACCACATTAGTCATCATGTTGATGAGTTGATATGAAGAGTTGATATATACATATAATAGTTCCTTGGATGACATCACTATATGATGTTGATATTAATGGTAATAAATGGTCGATATGAAACACATACATCGATCATAGTACTTAATAGTAGCGCTATTATTTATTAGGAGTCGCATAAAACCATATAGACCCAATTCTATTCATTAATAGCAATTAAGGTGTCCTTCAGGGTTGAGGTTAATTATGGTTACACTGTATAATGGTTAATAGTTAATATCAATCTTGAAGGTAAATGATAGAGAAAATATCCCATTAAAAAAGTGCTTATGTCCGAATTAATAGGGTTTGTCCAACATTATCACACATTTATATCGAGAATGGGGTCAATCATCATGTTCCCTGATACAATGACCATATCTTTGGAGGGGACACCCCATTCTGCTCTGAAAATTGTGATGATTGATGATGACGTGAGAAAACCATAAGAGACATGCTTTTCTTTGAAGACACATGACAAGTGGAATTTTCTTCTCTGAAATTGGAATAGTGACATGATGAATAAAGAGTAATGGCTTGAAGAATCCCATAGAATTGTATATGTGAAAAGAACAATTGTTAATGAGGAACGGACGAATCATCGACATATATAACATATAATTCTCTGAATACATAATCCAATGAAGTAATGGAAACTGTTCCAAGAGAGTCTTCACAGAGAGACTGTTCTATGGACTTCTTGGACGATCTCGGAGTTGCATGATTTGGCGTGTGAATCCTTGGGCACCAAATGGGTCTACCAATGAACATCCCTGACTGCCAGCTTGTTTTTAGGTGAGAAAGCAGAAAAAAAAGGTTTCACCTCATATCCAATGTACAATTATTATAAAACATAGACAGTTGCAACCAAAAACATAAACAGTTGCAACCACAAAAATTGCTACGATTTCTATATCATGACATTTTGATTCTTATTCTCTGACATGTTTGACCTTTTGAAGTGAAGTGAACCTGGGAGCTCAAAAAGACCTCAGTGATGCCCGTCCGAGAGGCAGCCCGACAAGGTGAAGATTTTTTTCGTGGAAGATTTCGTGGCCGAACCTGATATGGCTCTGCGAGGTCCCCTGCAGGGGGTGGCTTTTCTTGGCCGAACCAACCAGGGGAAGCCACCAATCTTTGGGGGATTCAACCAGCGTCTGGTTTAAAAAAACACACACTGGTGATTTTTTACATTTTGCTGCGGATATAAGAGGATATAATGGCATAACTCCTCCAATCAGCTTGGGGTATGTGAATAGGCTGCGGTGAATCTCAACCATTTTTTTTTCAGGGGTCCCTTTTCAGGTTGTTTGAATCCCCATACAGTTTCATTTGGTGGTCTGTCTGAAATTTGGAGCATGTTTCCAACTTTCCACCTTTAAGCTCGGTAAGGTTTGGTGGACAGAAGTATGTCTCGCCGAAACTAGGGCCTCCAAAAACCAATTCAAAAAAATGGACCGACATTTTATGACATGGTCGATGTCCGAGTCTTCCTTTTTCGAACACGCCCAAAAAAACTGTTTATATATATATATATAAAAGTCATTTAAGTATGTCCTGTTATTTTGTTTTACAATCCCCACATTTTTTTGGGTCGTATGGTTGACAACCAGGATTCTTCCGTTCTGCGAGGCTTAGCGCGCTTCTTGGGCGTGCCCGACGACGCTGAGATCTTGCAGCAGGCTCATTTCATTTCATTTTCATTTCATTTCACTTCTTTATCATCCCATCACCTTTATTCTCATTAGCTTCCCAGTGACGATGATAGTTTAGCTACTATCCTTGCTCGCTGTGTTTGACACCGGATTCCTATGGATTCCTGCAACGTCTCTATATGATAGGCCATTGACAAGGTGGAGGCGATGAGGCCTCATGGATTGTTCTACCCCAGACAGGACCGCAGTCTCATGGAGCCATGGCAGCCATGGAGCCGTGGGATCTGGTTTTTTTTACCAATGGGATGTAAAACAAATGGGCGATTTTTTTAACAAAAGACAACAGTTTGAATCATGCCCCAAAAATCCATAGAAAAACCAGCTGTGCCTGAAGAGTTTGGGGGTCCAAAATCAGCGACAGCTTGCCAGGACATGCTTGAGCTGCAGCATTTCTTGACTGTGGCGCACGATTTTGAGCCACCTGGCCGATGAGTTTCTAAAATGGGCCAGCATAAGAACTCCCACCTACATTGCCAGTTCCCAACCGCCTGCACCTTGTTTCCACCCGATTTTCCATGATTTTCCAGTTGGGTATCTCCCCAGTGTCCCTTCCATTGGCGGCACCATCTTTGGGCTTCGCCATGAGGGAACCTCCAATGTATATGGGGATTTACCCCAAAATCATCCAAGCCAAGCTATTATTCCTTATAATCAATGGGTTCCACCAATGGTTTAAGGGGTACCCATACTTTAGGAAACCTCCATATTTTCTCTTCGTGATACACGTCGTCACGTTGGCAAAGCGGCAAACGCTGTTGGATCTGAGGTTGCGACTGCGCGAACTTCCAGAGGAGCTCCAATGCATCTGGGAGGAGCGGGTCTCGCTGTGGCCGCGGCTGCCCAATTTGCGCCTGGCCGCTCTGGGGCAAAGCCTCCAAAGCCACAGGCCACCTTTAGAGATGGGGAGGCGATGGAATCTACCAATTGGGAGGGCAACTTTTCCAAAGTTGGTATTGATCTTTGTCATGCCGATTGGGAGGCTTGGAGGCGCTTGAATTGAGATGTTGGTTGTTGATGTGGTCTGTACATCAATAATCCTGAGCAACAACTGTGGCATCAGAAGTCACTATTTAGCATAATGGGATAGCATATAAAATCGACACAGTGGATTACCTCGGAACTTGCCTATTATAAGCCATAATCCTGTAGAATCCAAGCATGCTGTCGAATGAACCCCTCCATGCTGTCGATTGTGGGAGTCGCTCTTCAGGGCTTTTAGATTCTCCAGTTGATTGAACATTGGTGACAATTACTGTGTAGTTTGTAAATATGTGTATACAATTGTAATTATCATAGAATAACATATCTACACACACATATATATATAGTACATGTATGTAAATACATTATGCTATAGATGATCCACATATCTATAGAGGCACATCTTGCTAGGTGGTTTGACTGGCACCATTCTTCACTTTGTTGCCAGGATGTGGGTGGCACCGCAGTGGTGGGCGGCACACAGCGTCCTTGGTCACAAAAAAAATGATGGTTGTTATGGTGGGGTTGTGTAAAATGACAATTATTATGGCATATTTATGGCTATTATCTGTAGTATAGTACTATCAAATTCTTCAATGATGGTTGTTATTATTACATATGTTCAACTCATATGCTGATGTTATTACTACATACTGACAATCATGATGATGATGTTTTATAACATGACTATCAATACTATCAAAACGTTGAATGGTTGTTATTACTCCAAGCGCCACTCCAGATCCCAGTGGGTGAATCTCCTGCTTGGAGGATCATCCCACGAATCGTAACTGGTCAATAACCCTGGTAAAAAGGCCCCAACTCTTGGACTTCCATTTATAAGTGGCTTATAACTTCACTTAAACACTAACCAGTAACTAAATGAACAGATATATAACTATATATATATGTATATCTCATTATAATTCATTATATGAAATTCAAACATATTCAATCTAATTGTTCGATCCCTGGATCCTGCTGAGCTGCTGAGGCGGGGTTGTGCAAACCCTGCAGCTTCGCACCGCGCGGGATCTGCCGCAGCGGCGACAACTGCGACTTCTGCCATGCGCCGAGCCACCGGGCGCCGCTACGGAGGCCCTCGAAGAAGGCACCGTGGATGGTCCTGTGGATGGTGAATGATTTGCAAAAACCAACTTGGTTGCTGTACCATGATTCATGGGTTCAGGAATGTTCATGATATAAAAAACGATGGTTGCTGTACTTAGTTGTTAAATTTGTGCCATGAGAAGAATCATGTTTGTTCATTCATATTAACACTTTTTGTTAAAATTATTCATGGGAGAGATTTGCCAAGAACATATGGATGGTCAAATACAATGTGGATCAATGTGGTAAATCCAATTCGTTTTTTCTTGGCTGGTTTTTGAATACCTCCAAATAAAATAATAGGATATTTGGGGTTAAGTCCAAAGCCATGGACCTTTTCCTTCCCCCAGGCCCTAGGGCGTAGTTGTTGAAGACCCTCCATTTCTTGTCATGGGAAAATGGGCCATGTTTCATAGAATTGGATGATGGGAAAATTTACAAAGACCCCTATATTTGATGGTAAAAAAAACATGGTTTCCTGTAGATTTTCCCTTAAACCAATCCATTGACTGTTGGAATAGGTCATACCAGGATCACCAAGTTTTCTGGAGGGTGGAGACTCCAGGAGCGCATGAGACGTCTTCGAAAGTCCTTGCGTTCAAGGGAGGCAGGGCGTCACGGCGGTCACTGGGAATGATGGGAATAGGAATGGTGGCTGTCCCAAAATGACCGAACTTTTGAGGTTGGTGGATCATTATGATTTATGTCATGTACCCAGATGATTTGCGGAGTGAAAATCATTTGAAATAGGTTTTTCAGCCGCCTCAAAAGCCATAGATGTTTTGGATCCTTTTTGGAAAACCCCTCCGGCCGTAAGTTGCCGCCACTCCTAGAGGTTCCAGTGATGGCATTTTTCCAGGGGGCTTTTTTCGGCTGCCAGAGATCCTCCTGGGAATCTGTGGGAACATATGGAACAATTCTAGGGAAAACCATGAAAAATCATGGACATTGACGCAAAATCATGGGGAAAAACAGCAGGACCACCATGTAAATAATCATGGATATATATTTTTATAGACATATCTGGAATTTTTATGGAATTTTTATGGACAATGAAGAATATGACCGGATTCCCGATCTGCTACAGCCTGCAGGTTGGCGAGGCCACCATCCGTACGCGAACCCCTTCGCCCGACGGCTTGTCGAGTTAAGGCCCAAAAGCTGGTATTTTAATAACAAGATAGTAGGAAGATGTAGGAAGGTGTGAGTATACCGTATACCGGTATTTCTATCTCCTTACAAAATTAATTCAAAGTATCTAAGCTATCTAATCTATATAATTGATGCAATCGATGCAATAGATCTAATCTATCTACTCAATCTAATCTATGTAATCTGCCTAATCTATGTAATTAATCTACCTAATCTATGTGATCTATCTAACCTATCCAACCAACCAATAAATCAATCAATCGATCAATCCATCAATCTATCTATCTACCTATCTAGCTATTTACCTATCTAGTTATATATATATGTATTATATCTTATAGTATTTTGTAGGATGTCATAATATTTTACATTGTTTCATAGTTACATAGATATGATTATATAATGATGTATATTAAATCTTTTCAAGTTTTGTGATGCTGTGTTCCTTGGATACTTGGTTGCTGTGTTCGCCCAACCTTGGCACGATCCCGGCGAAACTGTTCGTGTTTCAGCTCCAGCTGTGAAGGGTGCGGGTTTGAAAATAGCGTACTCCGAGAAATTCAGTGGTTTATCATCAGTTTCCCACCTTAGCCATAACTGTTAACTTCGGTGGACCTTTTAATTCAAAGTTTGAGTTTAAAGAAAGTCGTGCCACTTGCCTTTGAGTGGCTCAGGGATTCAAATGAAAGCAGCAGCATGTTTTGACCATTCCTTTCTACTTGGACATGCGACCACAAGCCTTCTTGAAGCATCAGAGTGACAGGAATTGGACTGGGTGAATGACGCAACTAAATCTGTGAGATGCCTCAACCAACGGTCGGTTTCCCGTTGTAAGTTAGAACAGTTGGTGAATTTGCATCTCTCCAGTTTTTACACACTCAACACGTACCATCCCGGACCCCTGACAGGTGCGCATGACATCACATTGCCGCTGACGTCACTGTGCTGTACAGTCTCTGACCACTCCTTTCCCGAAGCGAAACTTAGTAGCTCCGCTAGTCGGTGGAGATGGGGGTACACAGTAGCCGGGTAGCTCTGTTCCAAACTGGACGAAGCTCATCTAGATGATTCCAAGATATTCCAAGTGAGCAACGATAATAGATAGGTGACACAGTAGTTTTACAGGTACCAGGTACCCCTCCTCTCGACACCCCTTTAGACTCCTTGGGTCTGGCTGGATCTTGGCCCTTGAATCATATGGGCTGAGCGCCGGTGTTGGCAGGCGGAAATTTGCTGGATTTCAGTGCTTCCCAGATCTTTCTTCTCTTCGAAACATCTTGAAATCTGTGGAGATATTTTGAGTGGCTTCAGATTTGGAAGGTACATATGTTTTGTCAGCTGTTTTCTGAAAAAACGAGTGGCGGAGGAAAGGCAACCAACCTGGTGTTACCGAACACTGTGCCATGTCAGAAACCTTGCCCTGAATACTTGAACTTGTCAGGGAGATTATATTTCCACCTCATAAGTTTTTTTTTCGTTTCTGCCGTGGCTACAATTCGATGCAACTTGACTTGGGACACGCCAATACTTCTTGTACAGCAGTTCAGGAAAAGTGCCTTGCACCAGTTTTCCTGACATTGACGCTGCGAATCACATTCGCGCTGTCATGTCTTGGTGTCTCAGCTCTACATAGTCTGTAAAGTGCGTACCGCTTGGTCGATTTAGTTGGCGCATCATTCCGGAGAAGTCTTGGATGAAATGAAGATCTTGGAGAGGAAAACATAGGAAAACATAGGAACACATTCTTATTAGCCCAGCTTCATGACGGTCACCGTGTCACCCGTGATTTCAACTGGAAGGTGCTCCGGGCTCCGCTGGGAGGATTGTGGGGGCAACCAGTGACAGATGTTTCGGGATTTTTCAGTGGCGATGCCGTGATGCTTCCAACAGTTTTTTTGGGGGCGCAAACCCCGATCCCTCCCAGCTGGATGGATTGCTTTTCCAGATATCCCCAGAGACTTTGGTCTGCTTTTGCTGGGGTGCATCGGCGCCGAAAAGCTCGGAATGCTGCGGGAGGGAGTTGGGAACTACACATGGACACGTAAGCACATTCACAAACTGTGGCTGGCTCCACCTTTCCGTACCCACGCTACTTACCGCTACTTTCTGTCCATCTACGTGGCGTCCTTTGCTAAAGATAGGTGAAACATGGGTTACCGGTTAACAAGAAAAAAACCAAATTAACAAAGTGATACAAAGTGCAATTGTCCTTTTTTTCACCAGTTTTCACCAGTTTCAGCCAATTCTTCATCCATCATCCCTTTCTAAATCCCGCCACATCACCATCCCATGGGCCGATGGCGCCGAGGTTCGTGGAGGAAGTGAAGAAGCAGTGCGCCGACATGGACGCCCAGTGGGACGAGCGCCAGAAGACCCGCGCGGAGGAGACGGAGGCGATCTCCAAGGTGCGGGCGGTGCGGGGTCGAGTTGTGGTGAAGCTTGAGATCTTCAGCGTTCTTCAGCAACAAAAGGACGAAAACTGGGGATGGAACCTGGAAGAACAAGATGTTTGAATGGCCCAAAGTTGTTGAAGGATGGACTAGTGTGACTAGTTTTTGCTTTGCCATGGTTTGCCGATGGTGGAATTTGATGTGTCAATCCGGTCTGTGCATAGTGAAACATTGGGATGACATTTTCCTCACCTTGTGACCTTGATGAGTTTTCCAGGTCGTTACAGGCTTTTTACCGTTTTCTATACAATCGTTTATCATCAAGAAAAGCACGCTGGTTTCCTACCTAAGAAAGCACCACACTACTCCAGTGAAGGAAGAATTTGCCCCAAATTTGATGGTTCAGAGCCCATTTGGGGGTTTCCAATCCATGCTACCCCCAAATCATCCACTTTATTGTGGGCTGCTAGTGCCAACATTGACACTAGTAAGGGGTGGCTCCCAGATTATCAGGGCTAGCTTGTCTCTTGATGTCTTTTGCATTACATCCGAGAATTGCAAGGCCACAAGAGCTCAACTCTTTTAGATTCTTTTAGATTCTTTTAGGCCATTTAACCATCCATAAACCATCCATAAACCATCCATAAAACCATCCAGCTAAACCATCCACAAATGAAGCATGATTTTCCATCAACGGGGTACCATCCATCCAGCGTACCAGGCCGTGGAGATCTTGGACGCGGACGAAGCGCATGAGAACTTCGCCAAGACCTTCAGCTTCCTGCAGGATGACTGGAAAAACGCTGGTGGAGGTTAGGAGGAATTTCTACCAAACACTACCATTATTATAGGGGATTATGCTAATGATAGGGGATTATACTTCGGAAAAAAAACCAAATTTCTAGTGGATAGATGATTATAGGGGATTATACCAACCAATATATTATACTAAGCCTGGTTGATTGATGATAATAGGAAAACTGTACTACCCAATTGGTCGTGGGGATTATCATAATCCATGAACTGGAATCCCGTGCTTATCCAACCAGGATCAAATGGAATGACATTTCGGGTTTAGCAGCCGCTGCTCAATTGAAGGGTGAGGGAAAAGACGTCTAATTGCATTTTTTCGATTTTGGATGCCTCTCAGCATCCAATTTGAGTTTCTTTGAATTTCATTTTTGACATTTTTCGATCCAAATCATTTGATGAAGCCCTGTGGATTGTACCCTCTGGTAATTTAACATAGCTATTGAAAATGGCCAGTTATAGTGGATTTTCCCATTAAAAATGGTGATTTTCCATAGTTGATCCAACTTGATCCAACCATCAAAGACGCCACGTGATGGTCTCCGCCATTGTGGCACCTCCAGGAGTCCGAAGAATCCTCCCGGGTGTCCAAGGCGGCCGCCGCTCTGGCGAAGGCGAGGGATGGCCAAATCATACTCTGGTGATATATATTGTTGACATATTGATGATATTGGCAGTGATGATGATGATGATGATGATGATGATGATGATGAGGGTGAGGATGATGATGACGATGATGATGATGATGATGATGATGAGGGTGAGGATGATGATGACGAGATGATGATGATGATTATATTAGCCATGATGGTGATGATGATGGTGACATGGAGGAATGGAGGAATGGAGGTGGGGGTTGCCACCAAAAATGGCGACACCTGTGGAAAACCATGTTCTCAGCAAAAATTGAGGCAAACAATGTACAAACTGTCGCGCTTTTGCCTTTTCTTGGTCGTTCATTGTAAATGGAACCTGGATTTTCGTCGCGCCCACTGCCTTCAGCGCTCTTAGGCCAAGGATCCTCGCGTTTTGAGCTTGGCGATGCAGATGAAGATTGACAAGTTCACCAACGTCAAGAAGGCACCGACAGCACCAAACTTGACACGACAGATTGCCATTTTAATGAGGAACATGAGGTTTTGAGCCATGAGATGGAACGGGGTACCCTATGGAGGTAATTATACCCAAACATGGGGATGGGTCAAAAGGGTTTGATGTCAAACACTTTACTACGATCAAGATGTGATTTTCAGGTCTCAAAAACTTTGATGATTAGAGACAGGCTTGAAATAGCAGGGTGAAATGAGAGTTCGGATGGGCACTTTGTCAAGTTGCGCGGTTGTGCTCGCTTGCATTTGATCTTTGAAACCATTATCAACCTCCTACCATCCCTGTACATGAAAACCGATGTAAACTTGAACAGCTATCATGACTTTCTGACCCCGAAATCGTGGTGTGGGTTTCAAAAACTCGTTGCTTTCCGCACCTCTGACTGTGAGAAAGGGTTCAGCCAAACCGATCAACCAGCTTAGTGGAGGCCATGGATGACATGGTCTTTGCCCTGAAGAAAGAACAGGCCGATGAGGTGCGGAAATGTAGGGCGACCAAAAAGGCTCAAAGATGAGGCGACCAAACCCTGGTGTTTTGTTTTTTGATGATTTCTGCGAAAATGTAGGGCAAAAATCAGATGGCGAGTTGAGACCCAGCCGAGACCCAAACTTGAGGTGAAGCAGAAGGACTTTTGCGTGGAAGAGTTCCGCAAGAATCAGCTGCAGACAGAGGACAAGACACGTCCTGATGCTCAGAGATGTCTGTTGACGTTGACAGTGACACATGTGACGCATCACTTTTGCTCAGGGTCTTGAAGACTTCATTGCCATGACTCAGAAAACTTTGATCATTTGCTTTCTACCTGAAAGACACTATGAGTAGAATTACCCTGAAGTAATGCCATGATGTTCGAATGCGGTGTTTGGGACTGAAAACAACTCGTATGTTTTGACCAAAAAATCAGGGCCAAAGGGCCCGCCGAAACATTTTTTTCTGATATTTTTGGTGTGATGAAAGTATTTTGTACTAAGACTTACTAAGATACGATTATTGGATTTTCAGATTATTTGGTGTAACAATAGTAACATACAACAATAGAAACACACTACATATATTTTGACAGTAATAAACAATAACAACGCACAACAATAGAAAGATACAACAATAATATACAGTCACAACAGTAGCAATAAAACGAAATAATCATCATAATTAGTATGAATGAATGGAATCGCCAAACCCGAGGGTCCAACTTGGGCAAAGGTACCAAGGAAGCTCTGTTGGCAAAGGAGCAGGTGTGGCATACCCATTCGCTTCCTAACCTGTGCTGGTGTTTTAGCATCCAGACAGAAAGCCCCCCCTAGACACGTAAGGTGGTTCACAACAGGGTTAATTCGGAGTTATGAACGGATATATCTGCAGTGGATGGGTTTATGAAACACAGATAATACTTTGGGGGCTAAGTTTGGCACTTTCCTGCATGGTTCAAACTTGAGGACCCCAAACAATCATGAAAGGCAACCGTGTTCAAACAATTTCAAACATGGGTTTGTCTGAAAATGGGGTTCCTGCAAAATCCGATCGTTTGACACCAGCATTTCCCCCATTAAGATTATCGTTTTGGGTGGAAAACTGTATACTGTCTACTTCATTTTCAGATTGACCCACATCACCCGAATCTGCGGTCGTTGGGTTTTTGGAGGCCATTGATATTGCCAAACCAAAGAGTGACATCGAAACCCTGTGGGAGACCTCAGGGTTCCTGCGCCAATCCGTTTACTGACATCATGGCTATTTCATGAGAAAATTATGATAAACCACTGGATTTGGGGGTGCCGAATTTCAGACCCCAATTGACATTCTAATACTCAACAGCCCAAAAGGAATTCTCTACGGTTAAGATGCCATGATACCAGCCCACTTGTTTTAGGTACCTTTATGCAGAGCGGGCTGAACACTTGGTCAGTCACTTGGAAGCTTACCACCCGAGGCAGGGCGAGATCGCTGACATGAAGAAGCAGCTGCAGTTGGCCGGGCAGAACCGTGAGAAGGACTACTGAAAATAGGGTAGCCCTAAAACCACTGGTGAATCGTCATTTTCCTTGTGAAAATTAATAACTTTACAACCGATTTTTAGACACATCCAGTTGGAAAGTGTATGAAAGCAACCTCAAATCTTAGTGTACCTTGTCCTGCAAGAGCAGCAACCTTGAACTTGCCCCTACATGTTCATTGCTTTTGAACGAAACGTTTGTTGCACCTTGTTCAATTGCTACGAAACTTGGAACATGGGTCTTTGGGGCCTATACCTTAGGTACCACCCTCTAAGACTCTAAGCATTCCCAGCTGCAAACCCAGTTTCCAACCATTTGTACTTGTCAGTCAATCCTTCAGCTGGTATCTAACCATGTGTAGCCGACTTCTGACAAATTCATACAAATTCAATATATATAATTATATATATAATATCTGGATGTCTCCCTCTCTCGATATGTAATGTCCGCTATACAGGCTATGCATTTATAGTAGATATAATAGATGTATCTATTACATACATGCGTACCTTATCTATATATATATGTATATATATATATTTATAAATGACATGCATCATACCCAAGCTACTTGAAACAAACCCTGTGCTTCCCTGTCTGCAGATGTTCAGTCGCCGTGGTTGTTGGAGAACCCAGCTGCACAATCCCATCTACCCAAGGCTTCCAAAAATCATCTGGTTGATGGTTGATGGTTGGTGGTTGATTTGGATCATGATCCCACATAGGAATGAACATATCCAAGATTTGAAACCGCCAACCAGATTTTGTTGGTATCCCAAGGGGATATGCCCCAACCAGTTCAATCCATTTCAATCCCCATTTTTGGCGGTTAAATCGTGGTCTAAATCCCATGATTTAATGGTTATGAATGGTTAATCAATCCCACCAATTCCCATAATGATGAATTTCATTTACCCTCTGGTTATGACTAACATAGCCATAGAAAATCACCATTTTTAAGAGGTAAACCATCTATTTCTATGGGCCATTCTCCATGGCTATGTGAAATAACCAGATGGTAATTTCCCAAGTCCTGTTGGAAACTTCAGATCCGTCATCAGATCGCCTCGAGGAGAACGCCGAGTTCCAGAAGGTCATCGAGGAGCAACGTCAAACCCAGAGCCTGCTGAAGGAGGTGACGCGCCGTAGCGCCGCGTCTTGGGAAGGGTGAAACATGGAGGGTTTTTCCATGTTTTTCCATAGTTAAAATGGGATGTTAAAAATGGAAGTTACACTTGGATGGTCAAGACATGCTCATAGTTGTTGATGTTGACATATGTTACCATGCAGCAATGTGGTAAAGAAAAAACCTAAACCATCCCCAGTATCACCGGAAATGGGTGGTATAAATCTTCCAAAATTGGAGGTTGATTGTTGGGGTTGAGCACATTAATTAGATGTTCAATAGATGACAATAGATGTTCATTCTAAAACTGACCACGCTGCAGTTACCTAGGCTCGAAAATAGAATTCAGTAGCCCAAATTGGTGGTTAGTTAATACCAAGAATTGATTTCGACTTGTAATCTGACTCATTACATTTCATTACCAATCTCTCAAATCTGATCAACCAAAAAATTGCTGTCATAGCCAAAAGGCACTGACCGTCCTGGGCAAGTTCTACAACAAGGCACAGCTGTGGCCGATGGAACTGAATACCGCTCGTTGATGGAGAAGGGTCTCAGGGTACCAATTGTGCTACTTCGAAATCAGTTCCATGCCCTGTGCAACTGTGGCTGTGGGCAAAATGGGTCCTTCCAGAAACTGATGGGGGGACTCCAGAATTTCTCTCTCCCGTCCACCGAACAATTCCACCAAACTGGTCTACTTCAGCAAGGGAAAGTGCTGAGGTCCTGATATTTCCCCACTTTGGAACAGTTGAACATTGAACATATTATATATATATATATTGGTGATAGTCGTACATTTTCGCCAAAAGGTGTTGCTACAATCCGATCTTCACCCTGATCAGCATTTCACTACCCTCAAAACTGCATCAGACATCATAAAACCGATCATAAAACTGCCTTAACTCCACCAGTAACTCCCCTAGATTAAAAAAAACGACCTCGAGAAATGACGCAGGGCGCCTTTCTGCAGGGCAGCCAGCATGCGCCTGAGGTGCCATCTGCACTGCCGGGCCATTGCCGTCATGGAACTGCAGGATTAACCAATGAGGCAGTCATGATCTTAATATATATATATATATACATACACACATATATATATGTATATATAATGGATATTATAATCCGTTGATTAACAAGCTGATGAGAATTAGCCAGTACAATAATTCGACATGGCTTGGTTCCAGCTTGGTCAAGCATTGCAATTCAGGGAACCATGGCATTTTTTTGAGTTTTGCAGGCACCTGGAGGCTTCAAGGATTACAAGGCCAACGGCAAGAGCTTCGGAGCCCGTGGCCCCAGACGTTGGGGTGCGATGAATGTCTGAATGGGGAGTGGGTCAGAAGTGCGCACCAATTGATCCACAAATTGCTCCTTAGTTTTAGTATTCAGCCATCTATGTTTGGGGTAATCGTGAACCCTCAAGATGGTTTGAAAGTTAATGGTGGTAAAATCTGCAGGAAAGCATATTTTTGGATGGTAAAGCACTGTAAAGCACTGTAAAGCCATGGTTTCGCGTAACATTTCCCTCTCAAGTGACACTTGTCAGGGTGGTCTTCAGAACTGCTTCTCCTTACAATTTTTTTTTCGGATGAACTTTAGATTCACTCATTCCCGTGGATTTAAAAGCATTTTATAGCACTGTTCAATGATTTCCCAATTTTTATATTTTTTTTTCCAGATTTTTCCCAGGTTTCTCTGTTTCTTCGCTGTTTTTCTTCCCACCAGGTGATGTCCATGCTGCAGCAGCTGGTGGAAGATGCAAAGGCCATGGAAGCCGAGGCCGTGCGCGCTGAGAACAGTGCCTCGGCAATGGGGAGATGGTGAGGAACTAACAATTGGTGGATCTAATTGGGAACTGAGAACTTTTACACATGATGTCTATATACATGAATGATTATGAATGAGAATAATTGATAGTAGTAATAATGACACTGATAAGAATCATGTATAGATGTATATTTTTATGTATACATGTATACACAAGAGTAGACATGTATAGACATCCGTAATTTATAGTATATAAGTTATATAAGCAAGTGGAGGCACGTAGATAAACGCCCTTTGCGTTTTTGCGCATTTTGGCAAATTTCTGGGGTTGGGGGGCGGAGAGTTGGGGGGAGGGTGGGGGGGGGTGTAATAACGTTCTTGTCGCGTGCTTCTTTAACATGTTCTTGGATCTTCTGACACGCTACAAACATGTTCTTGGAACATCTGGCACGCTCTTGATGCTACGCTTCTAACATGTTCTTGGAACTTCTGACACGCTACTACAACATGTTCTTGGAACTTCTGGCGCGCTACTAACATGTTCTTGGAACTTCTGACACGCTACTAACATGTCCTTGGAGCTTCTGACACGCTTCCAGCATGTTCTTGGAACTTCTGACACGCTACTATAACATGTTCTTGGAACTTCTGACACGCTACTAGCATGTTCTTGGAACTTCTGGCGCGCTCTTGATGCTACGCTTCTAACATGTTCCTGGAACTTCTGACACGCTACTAGCATGTTCTTGGAACATCTGGCACGCTCTTGATGCTACGCTTCTAACATGTTCTTGGAACTTCTGACACGCTACTAGCATGTTCTTGGAACTTCTGGCGCGCTACTAACATGTTCTTGGAACTTCTGACACGCTACTAACATGTCCTTGGCGCTTCTGACACGCTTCTAGCATGTTCTTGGAACTTCTGACACGCTACTAAAACATGTTCTTGGAACTTCTGACGCGCTACTAGCATGTTCTTGGAACTTCTGGCGCGCTCTTGATGCTACGCTTCTAACATGTCCTTGGAGCTTCTGACGCGCTACTAACATGTTCTTGGAACTTCTGACACGCTACTACAACATGTTCTTGGAACTTCTGACACGCTTCTAGCATGTTCTTTGAACTTCTGGCGCGCTATTAACATGTTCTTGGAACTTCTGACACGCTACTATAACATGTTCTTGGAACTTCTGACACGCTTCTAGCATGTTCTTGGAACTTCTGGCGCGCTCTTGATGCTACGCTTCTAACATGTTCTTGGAACTTCTGACACGCTACTAGCATGTTCTTGGAACATCTGGCACGCTCTTGATGCTACGCTTCTAACATGTTCTTGGAACTTCTGACACGCTTCTAGCATGTTCTTGGAACTTCTGGCGCGCTACTAACATGTTCTTGGAACTTCTGACACGCTACTAACATGTCCTTGGAGCTTCTGACACGCTACTAGCATGTTCTTGTAACTTCTGACACGCTCTTGATGCTACGCTTCTAACATGTTCTTGGAACTTCTGACACGCTACTATAGCATGTTCTTGGAACTTCTGGCGCGCTACTAACATCTTCTTGGAACTTCTGACACGCTACTATAACATGTTCTTGGAACTTCTGACACGCTTCTAGCATGTCCTTGGAGCTTCTGACACGCTTCTAGCATGTTCTTGGAACTTCTGACACGCTACTATAACATGTTCTTGAAACTTCTGGCGCGCTACTAACATGTTCTTGGAACTTCTGACACGCTACTATAACATGTTCTTGGAACTTCTGACACGCTTCTAGCATGTTCTTGGAACTTCTGACACGCTACTAACATGTCCTTGGAGCTTCTGACACGCTTCTAGCATGTTCTTGGAACTTCTGACACGCTACTATAACATGTTCTTGGGACTTCTGACACGCTACTAACATGTCCTTGGAGCTTCTGACACGCTACTAACATGTTCTTGGAACTTCTGACACGCTACTAAAACATGTCCTTGGAACTTCTGACACGCTTCTAGCATGTTCTTGGAACTTCTGGCGCGCTATTAACATGTTCTTGGAACTTCTGACACGCTACTATAACATGTTCTTGGAACTTCTGACACGCTTCTAGCATGTTCTTGGAACTTCTGACACGCTACTAACATGTCCTTGGAACTTCTGACACGCTTCTAGCATGTTCTTGGAACTTCTGACACGCTACTAACATGTCCTTGGAGCTTCTGACACGCTACTAACATGTTCTTGGAACTTCTGACACGCTACTACAACATGTTCTTGGAACTTCTGACACGCTTCTAGCATGTTCTTTGAACTTCTGGCGCGCTATTAACATGTTCTTGGAACTTCTGACACGCTACTAGAACATGTTCTTGGAACTTCTGACACGCTTCTAGCATGTTCTTGGAACTTCTGACACGCTACTAACATGTCCTTGGAGCTTCTGACACGCTTCTAGCATGTTCTTGGAACTTCTGACACGCTACTAAAACATGTCCTTCGAACTTCTGACACGCTACTAACATGTCCTTGGAGCTTCTGACACGCTATTAACATGTTCTTGGAACTTCTGACACGCTACTATAACATGTTCTTGGAACTTCTGACACGCTTCTAGCATGTTCTTGGAACTTCTGACACGCTACTAACATGTCCTTGGAGCTTCTGACACGCTTCTAGCATGTTCTTGGAACTTCTGACACGCTACTAACATGTCCTTGGAGCTTCTGACACGCTTCTAGCATGTTCTTGGAACTTCTGACACGCTACTATAACATGTTCTTGGAACTTCTGACACGCTACTAACATGTCCTTGGAGCTTCTGACACGCTTCTAGCATGTTCTTGGAACTTCTGACACGCTCCTATAACATGTTCTTGGAACTTCTGACACGCTACTAACATGTCCTTGGAGCTTCTGACACGCTTCTAGCATGTTCTTGGAACTTCTGACACGCTACTAAACATGTTCTTGGAACTTCTGACACGCAAAAAATGATCCTTGGAGTTCTGACACGTCTCTAGATGGTCTGGAACTTTTTTTTTTTCTGACGCTACTAAACATGTTCTTGGAACTTCTGACACGCTACTAACATGTCATTGGAGTTCTGAAACGCTTCTAGATGTTCTTGGAAAATTCTGACACGTACTAGAACATGTTCTTGGAACTTCTGACACGCTACTAACATGTACTTGGGAGCTCGAACGCTTCTAGCATGTTATTGGAACTATGACACGCTATATAAACATGTTCTTTGAACTTCGGACACGCTACGACATGTCCTTGGAGCTTCTCTGACACGCTTATAGCTGTTCTTGGAAACTTCTGACACGCTTCTAACATGTCCTTGGAGCTTCTGACGCGCTACTAACATGTTCTTGGAACTTCTGACACGCTACTACAACATGTTCTTGGAACTTCTGACACGCTTCTAGCATGTTCTTTGAACTTCTGGCGCGCTATTAACATGTTCTTGGAACTTCTGACACGCTACTATAACATGTTCTTGGAACTTCTGACACGCTTCTAGCATGTTCTTGGAACTTCTGACACGCTACTAACATGTCCTTGGAGCTTCTGACACGC